AGCTTAGCTTCACAGCAACTCTTCAATCTTCTCCACCTTACTCACTTACACCACGCCCTTTCAACCACTTACACCCACCATACCTCCACCTTAAACACTCAAAACCATTACAATGGCTGGCTTCACTCTGATGTTCACTCCCACTGCCGCTGTCTACGGACGCTCTGGCTACAACAAGGACGGCGACGAGGAGGAGAACAACAAGGGCCGCTCCGGCTACAACAAGGACGGCAACGACGACGACGACGACAAGAACAAGGGTCGTTCCGGCTACAACAAGGATGGCGATGACGAGGAGGACAAATAAGCGTCTTACCCTCCCGCATCCTCCTCGCCTCTGCGGCCGCCTCTCCCGACGCCCTGTCTCGGGACGGCGGTCACTGTCTTGAAATCTGCCATGGGCAACATCGCCAACCGTGCCTGCTCTCGCCTTCTTCGCCACTGCATTAGACCGGAGTTCTCATGTCGCCTGCTTCCCGCTCCCCTCTCGGGATAACATGCGGGGAGAGCCAGGATCAACAGCACTGGCTGGCGACTTCCATCTTTTTCTCTCTTTCTCTCGGCAACTTGGGATACTAGACCTGCTTTCACACATTCTTCTTCATCGCCGTTGCATTGGGCCGGAGTTCAGGATGCAACGAATGAACCGCGCTGGGATCGCTCTTTTGGGATTTTCTTGAGATTTCATGGCAAAGCATAGCACCGCGTTGCGCCGCATCGAGTTGAATGGGTCTGCTTTTCTTTCTTTTGTAACTGGGCGTTGAAGGAGCTTGCCTTGCATCCCCCCTCCCCGATAGATTAGATATACGAGGACTTCACCGTCCGATGCTTGTAGTATCTTAATTACTACTTTCCCACACAGAATCTAACAGGCTCTTGTTAGTGACCATGATAACAGCCTCGTGACTAAAGAAGAATCAAAACTTACTTTTCAAATACCACCCCGAGCACCTCTTCGACATCACCCGCCTCGATGCGACCGGTGATTCTTGCTAAACAGTCGGCTGCATATCGGAGATACTCTGCAGCCAGCACAATGTCCGGCTCCTCGCCCTCATGCTCGGGTAGCGCAACCGCCATGAATTCGTCCAGTAGCCCGCGGCACTGCTCCAACAGCTGCGCCTGTCTGGCTGTCACGCCCAACAGGTCCTGCTGGTCCGATGGTAAAGATGTCATGCTAGCGAACGACTGTACGAGCTGGTCTGTAAGCCCATTGATAGCGCCTGGGTCCTTTTGATTTGTGTGTTGCGACTGAGCTTCTCGGCACGAGATCGTAATCAGCTCGACTTTACTTAGTTCAGGCACATGGGCGTCGATTTCCCTCCGAAACTGCGTGACAAGTTTGGCGAATGTGGGTGAGTCTACTGCATCCCGCTTGTTTACGACAACGAGGCATGCTTGAGCCTCGGAGGCAAGCCTCAACGTTCCCGCATCGTAGTTTATCTTGAAACCCCCTTCACGGGTAAGCTCAACGGCTGCCAAGACGATAATGATGTCTGACTCCGCAGCCTTTTGCTTCGCGCGACGGATACCTTCCTCCTCAATCTTGCCCAGCGCAGGCTCGTTGGGATCGACCACGACGTTAAGCGAAGCTTTTGTCCTGATGCCAGCCGTGTCCGCAAAGGAACACAGGAATCCTCTGATGTCGAGGCTGACTTCCACGATATCTCGCGTCGTGCCGGCCTCCTTCGACACGATCGACGCTTCCCTGCCCACAATGAGATTCATCAGCGAGCTCTTGCCGACGTTAGGCGGCCCCAGGAGCGCGATGCGGATGCCGTTCCTCAACAGCTCGCTGCGCTGGCTCGCCGCTTCGTGACGCAGTATGCTCTGTCGCATGTCGGTCATCAAGGCGTTCACGTTGCTCATCAGATCCGCGGGGGACTCGTCGAAGTGCTGGTCCTCCGCGAAGTCGATGAGCGCCTCGAGCTCGCCGCGCGCGAGCAGGAGCTGCTCGCGCCAGGCGTCGTACGTGCGTCCCAGGACGCCGGAGTTTCCGCGGACGGCCGCCCGGCGCTGCTGCTCGGTGTCGGCGGACATGGTGTCGCCGAGGGACTCGACCTGCGCGAGGTCCAGTCTGTCGTTGAGGAACGCTCGCTTGGTGAACTCGCCGGGCTCGGCGTAGCGGATTCTGCCTTCTGATTTGCACTTGGGGATTGCTGCCAGGACGGCTTTGACTGTTGCGGGACCGCCGTGCACGTGGAGCTCTAGCACGTCTTCTCCCGTGACCGTGTTCGGGCCGGGGAAGTAGAGGACCAGGGCGTTTGAGTCGAGAATTGAGGCGTCATCGCCCGCTTGACCGTCCACAAGTGTCCTTACAGATGCGTAACGGGGTTTAGGAAGGGGCCGTTTCGCGCACAGTCCTTTGTAGACCTGCGCAACCAGTTAGAATGTAATGCATGTTGAACTTTAAGGGGCAGCTAACATCTGTACATCCGGGACCAGATATGCGTATTACCGCAATACCGGCACGACCTTGGGCAGTGGACAAGGCATACACTGTATCATCCACTGTGTCATCCCGAAGCCCGAACTCGGGCTGAGATGTGAAGTTTCTGGAGTGGATGGGTGGCCCGGCGGAGACAGGCCGTTGCATCGGCCAACGGTGACCCCACGGCGCCGGCGCCGGTCCCGGCCAACGGCCTCGACCACTAACACATCTCGCTGTGGCTCCGGACAACAAAAGCGCCCTGCCGAAACTCCTCGACGTTCGTAAAATGATAGGCATGGACTAATAACACAACGCTGCGAAACGAAGAAGAGTTATATTAAACGACCAGCCGGAAAACCTTCATCATTGAGTGCGTGGGTGAAATCGCCATCAGAGACCTTGACGGAAAGAAATTCAGAGGGTCCACCTTCCGCCGGCAAAGCTATCTGTAACGCACGGACGCCCATTGGCCAGACGGGCCGTTTTGCATCCGGTCTTATCGCGATAAGCATCCCTGCGACTGCTCGATTCTGAAATTTTTTGGGAGACTGCCAAAGAAAAACCAGCGCCCCGCCGCCTCTCTTTTCCCCGTGAGCTTCGCAGCATTCGACCAACGGCAAGGCTTCCATCAACACCGGCCTCGTTTGTTCGTTCGCAAAACCGTCACAATGGCGTCCGACGAGATTATCTGGTACGACTTTAATCTTTAAAACTTGTCATTGTCTTTTGTTGCTGACTTAGATCCAGGCAAATCATCAACCAGCAGTTCTGCAGCTTCAAGCTCTCGACAGACAAGAAGCAGACGTTCTGCAGAAACGAGTACAATGTCACCGGCCTCTGCAACCGCCAGTCGTGCCCATTGGCCAACTCTCGCTATGCGACGATCCGCCGCGCCCCCAACAAGGACACGCTGTACCTGTACATGAAGACGATCGAGCGCGCGCACATGCCGTCGAAGCTATGGGAGCGCATCAAGCTGCCCAACAACTACCAACAGGCTCTGGAGAAGATTGACGACAAGCTCATCTACTGGCCCAAGTTCCTCGTGCACAAGTGCAAGCAGCGTCTCACGCGCCTGACGCAGGTCAACATTCGCATGCGGAGGATAGCGGCGGAGGAGGAGCGCATGGGCGAGAAGCTCGTGCCGAAGATGGCGCCCAAGATCAGGCGTCGCGAGGAGGCGAGAGAGCGCAAGGCGGAGGCGGCGGCGAAGCTGGAGAAGACCATCGAGCGCGAGCTCGTCGAGAGATTACGATCCGGCGCGTACGGCGACCAGCCCCTCAACGTTAGCGAGTCGATCTGGAAGAGGGTTCTCAACGCCATGGAGAAGGAGGGTGAGGGCAAGCGTGACAAGGATATGGACCCGGGTATCGAGTCCGAGGAGGAGGCAGACGAGGAGGCTGAGGCCGAGTCCGAGGATGACCTCGAGAAGGAGGTCGAATACGTGTCTGACATCGAGGAGAGCGACGAGGAGCTCGAGGACATTGAGGACTGGCTCGAGAGCGATGAGGAGGAGGCCGACGATGACGAGGAGAGCGAAGACTCGGAAGACAGCGACGAGGAGACGGATCGCAAGGCGGGCGACAAGCGGAAGCGCGGCCGGGCGGTCAAGATGACCCAGAAGAGGCTCAAGCAGAAGCAAGCGGAGCGTCCCAAGATCGCGGAGGAGTTGACCTGGTAGAGAGGCTCGGGGTGTTTTTCACACTGGCGTCTGGCGCGAATACCTTAATGGCTGGCTACGGATGGAAAAAGTTGAACCGGAGGGCATGTTGCATACCACTGCATTGTCGCATATACTGTCAGAATGGAGTTTTAATTGTTGAGTTATCGTTGATCGCATCTGCATCGTCGTCTCATTACTACACTTGTTAGTAGATTACTGAGCATGTCCCTGGTGCAACATGGCAAATGCTTATTTTAGGGAAACTGAAGGTTTGAACCGACTCTAATTAGAGTATTGTGACCCCCCTCACACCAAAGATCTGACAAGCTTCTCGAAAAGTCTTTCGATGAACCCAGCAAGATTTGCGTCTCCCGGGCGATGATCCAAGCGCTCACCGAGTACCCGTAGAGCTAGCGCCGGCGGAGGGGTGGGTTCTTCACCGACGAACCCAAGCGCCTCAATTAGTGCAAGTCCCCTTAGAACAATGCGGGCAGGCCCCACCGCTGGCATGCATTCAGTGTCATTGCCGCCGAGCCACAAGTGTTCCCGGGTCGGGGGCCCAACCCAGGTCGACCTTCATTCCCTATCATTCAAAGGCCGGCTTATTTGAAACAGACCACTTCAAGCAACTCTCCACGATTACGCCGCCTTCACGAAACAGCACCCGGGGGTCTTTTCTCGATTCTTTCTCCTTTTTCCCAAGCATTGACGGGCGACCAACGAACTCAGCGAGCGAACACCTTTTTTTTCTGGCCCTGCGAAACGCACGAAGCGCGGTAATTCGTCGTGTCCCGGAGCTCTCATTTTACCCCAACCCGTCCGACACCAGAGCGTCGTCGAAAAAGCAGCAGCAGCAACATCCTCTCTTTTGCCCCGCAGGATCCTCGCAGGCAAGGAACAGGCACGATGTCATCGTGGTACTCGAGGATCCTCACCAACACCACCTCCCAGATCTCGAGCTTGCAGAGCCGACTGCTGCAGAGCGAGAATGACGGCGACACCGAGGACGACACCCACGTCTGCAGAGTGCTGAGAGCATACTACACCGAGAAGGGCCGTCCGTTTCCGGGCTGGCTGCCCCCCGACCCAAAGGCGCCGCCGCCAGCGGCCCCCGTCTACGCCCAGCCTGCCAGCCAGGTCGGCTCGCGATACGGAGGTCTGCAGCCGCAGCAGCAGCCTGGCCCTACCACGGGACTGAGCTCGCTGTGGGATAGCAACGGCGGGGCGCAACCGCGGCAGGATAATATGAGCCTTCGACAGGGCCGCGGCGCCCCGCCCCCGGTGCGAGGCGGCGAACAGCCGGCGCGACTGAGCCCGTTCGCGAGGGCCGGTGACAGTGGGCGAGACGACGTGCAGGCTCGGCCTCTACCCAGCCAGCGGGCGGGAAGCTACCAGTCGAGCGCAGCATACGGACGAGAGGCAGTGAGCACACCGCCCGGCAGCTCGGGTGGAGGTGGTGGTGGCGGTGGTTCAGCACAGGACCGGCTTAAGCAGCGACTTTGGGGAGGTGCGAGAACGACGAGCCCGGCGTCGGGAGGTAACCAGGGACCTTTTCAACCACCGGCACGAGGTGGCTCGGGTGACTACGAAGATCGGTTTGCTCCTGGGGGCATGTACGATGGAGGCGGAGCAGGAGGCGGAGGTAAGTCCTTCATGACAGCGAACTCACCGTGGTTGAACAACGAGACTGACTTTGGCGGAGGCGGCGGCGGCCGGCCGACAGGACTTCCAAGCGGACCAAGACGAACTGGACTTCCGAGCGGTCCTCGAATGCGATAAGAGGGCAGTCTGTATGGCGAGGGAGACTGGTGTGCAGGCGAGGATTGATCTCGGACATTCCGACTGGCTCATCGTGGGCGTAACTCTGCGAGGGCTTGTTCGGCCGGGCTCACCAGGCGGGCTCGCGGGGCAGACGTCAACGACTTACAAAGCTTCTGCGGCCGTATTTCAACGTTCAGCGACGCGGACCTCGTGCACGAGGGCGGGGTATGTATGTTGCTGGGAGACATGCCGTCCAAAAGGTGCGAGAGCAGAGCTGAGGCACACAATACAACCACTAATACTCATATGATGAAGAAGCATGCAAGCGGGGAGAGGTTCCTATTGAGACTGTCCATCGCAGTGACAAGTGCAGCGACGTAACGTTCGCTCGTCATCCGGTGCGTCTTGATCGCTACAACTCGCAAAATGACTCCATCGTGATGATCCAACTCCGCGACTCGATACTCGATCTGGCAAGTCAAAACATCGCGAGTAGCGGCGCAACGAGTTGCTTGCGCGTGCAGTACGTAAATGCCAATAGAGCAGCCAGAGGTGCGAATGACGACGCATGCATGCTGCAGATGACATGGTCTGCCTAAGAGCTTTAGGTAGCTATACCGCTAGTGAGCACCAAAATGGCGCCTAAGTGGCTGTACAGATACAGTGGGAGCAGCCCCTCCGAGACATGGTGCGAGCTTCCGTAGCGGGGTGGCCACACGCCGCCGCCGCCTCTGCTGTCGATGACCACGCACCTTGGTGCTCGGCTCACCCCAACATCCCATATCACTAGCCACACTTCGCTCACATGCTGTTGCCTTCCCCAGACTCCTTTCCTCTTCTCCAGGTGCTTTTATTCTGACAAGAAAAACCTTATCAGCCCCGTTGTTATTTTGTTTCTTACCCTTCTGAATAGTCTCACACACCTCTTAGACTTCCCAGGTCCCCGGGTGCCTGGAATCCCGTCTTACATCATCGAAGGCGCCACTGCACGATGACCTCAGACTCAGATCCCCCGCCATCGTCGAGCGCCCCCCAACCGGGAGGCCCTCGCTCGCCGTCCGGGAGTTTTTACGCCCTCAGCGACGACGAGGAGGGCGAGTACAACACAATCACGCACACCGAGACCGGCCGAGGCGTGAAGCTCCTCTTCTCCAAGAGCAAGGTGAGTCCCGCGCGATCGCAACCCATCTCGCCACCCCACTACGGCCCGGAACTGACGGGAAGCTTTCCCACACGATGTAGGTTTACGTGCATCCCACACCCTCAGCGAAGGATAACATCCCCGGATACATCGCCTTGTTGCAACAAAAAGGCGCCCGTGGCGAACGACCGACATCCTCTTCCTCCCGCGACTCGAAGCACCCGACCGCCGACGACTTGCTGTTAGCATGGCTCCCCGAAACGTCTCTCGGCGAGGTCGAGAGCATATACGTCAAGGTCGACCTTAGCGAGGGCGAATCGCCACCGAAGCAGTCCTACCTCGTTCCCCCGCCGCCGACGGTCACATCCCACCGGGGATCCGTCGGCACGTATGCCTTTGCGATACCCGTGAGCGCGATCTACTCACTGCTCGTGCGCCCGCCGAGCCTGGGATGGTGGTTCGGCTCGCTTATTATCAACTCGCGCGCCGGCGACAGCTTCCCTGCGCTCTTCTTCCATGACAATGAGTGCCAGAGCACGATCTTGAAGAGAAAGAGGCGGACGAGGGATAGTTTCGACCCGTTCGGCGAGCGCGGGGAGATGTTCTGGGGTGGCGATGAGGTGCTGCGCTGGCTGAAGCGTTACATCCCGATCGAGAGGTCTGGCGCCGAGCCCAATATCTATCTGGTGGACCCGTCGAAGGAGGATAGTGAGGCTTTCGGCGGTAAGGTCACCGCTAGCACTGCGCAATCTCAGCGAGATGGTGCCAGCGGGAATGCTTCAGGATCTAGGCCCGGCGGTGCTGGTGCCGATGCGCAGATGGACCCGTTTGTGAAGTTGATCAAGGAGACTGGGTGGAATATCATGGAGAAGTTCAGCAAGGTCACAACGTTCACACGGAGGGCGGCGCAGGATGTCATCCAGAACCCGAACGTGCCGCCGCAAGTGAAGAGGTTATTGAGGAACCCGGAGGTCCAGACGCTGCAGGATGAGTTCGACAGTGCTAGGATATACCTCGCTCGCTGGGCCATGGGCATCGCTGAGCAGAGCGAGCGCGATCGCAGCCAGAGAATCTGGACCGCAAGGGAAGTCTTGGAGCTCGAGGACACTGATGTCGGCGAATTCGAGCTTCTAGATGGCAGCAGCACCATGTCCCTTGAGGACAGGAGGAAGCCGGTCAACTTGAAGGAGTGGAACACATTCTTCGATCAACGTACTGGAAGGCTGTCTGTCACCATCGACGAAGTCAAGGAGCGGGTGTTCCATGGCGGACTCGATCCTGACGATGGAGTGAGAAAAGAGGCATGGCTCTTTATTCTCGGCGTATACGACTGGTATAGCACATCTGAGGAGCGCAAGGTCCAGATTGCGTCGTTGAGGGATGAGTACGTCAAGCTCAAGGGCGCATGGTGGGAGCGACTTGTAGATATGGGAGGCGAGGGTGACGACGGAGAGTGGTGGCGCGAACAACGCGGTCGCATCGGCAAGTCTTGATTCCTAACCCCTGAATCACATTCACTAACAAGCAAACAGAGAAGGACGTCCACCGAACAGACCGCAATGTCCCCATCTTCGCTGGAGAGGACATCCCTCATCCCGACCCGGATTCCCCCTTTTCCGAAGTCGGCACCAACGTCCACCTCGAGCAGATGAAGGATATGCTTCTCACCTACAACGAGTACAACAAGGATCTTGGATACGTGCAGGGCATGTCCGACCTCCTCGCTCCCATCTACGCGGTAATGCAAGACGACGCCATCGCCTTCTGGGGTTTCCAACACTTCATGGACCGCATGGAGCGTAACTTCTTGCGTGACCAGTCAGGCATGCGTGCTCAGCTCCTCACCCTCGATCACCTTGTCCAGTTCATGGATCCCAAGCTGTACGAGCATCTTAAGTCGGCCGACAGCACCAACTTTTTCTTCTTCTTCCGCATGTTGCTTGTATGGTATAAACGTGAGTTTCAGTGGATGGACGTGTTGAGATTGTGGGAGATCCTGTGGACGGACTACCTGAGCAGTAGCTTCCATCTGTTTGTGGCGCTGGCTATTCTTGAGAAGCATCGGGATGTTATCATGACTCACCTGCAGCATTTCGATGAGGTCTTGAAATATGGTATGTCACATCCTTTTTACCCCTAAAACCCATCACTCACATAAACCACAGTCAACGAGCTGTCCAACACGATGGATCTCGACTCAACCCTGATTCGTGCAGAAGCACTCTTCCGTCGCTTCCAGCGCCTCGTCGAAGCAGTCGACAAGAAGGGGAACTTCCCGCCGCCCAAGATCCGCGACCCCCCTGCTTCCCCGTCAAAGTCGACCGATGAGACGCCTAAGCAGGGCGAAAACAGCGCTGGACCTGCCTCGCCACGCAAAGACACCGGTAAAGACAACAACAAGAACAGCGGCAAGAAGCCTGAAGAACCTCAGGTTCAGAAGGTCATTACACCGGAACTGCGGGAGTTGCTTAGTCGTAAGGTGGTGGTTCTCCCACGGAAGACAGTGGCGAAAAAGGGCGATGGACCAAACAGGTCGTGATGAGTTAATGAATGCGTAATGGAACAGGATGGGATGGAGGCAAGGCGTTTCAAAGGGTGGGTTTTGGGGGCATTAGGTGAAGTAACGTGGTGTCCTACACTAGTAAATACAGCTTTGATTGTCGTGGAAGTATTCTCATCAGTAGACTGCGTGCCTATCGATACTTCAATATCCTGGGAAACCTCACTTATTAACTAGCCGAATGATAGAAAGGCATTTGAAGCAAGTTCTACGTTTGGAAGCCTGAGCGGTGGGGTGAGGGTTGTTCAGGAGGAACATTTTGAAGATGTTGCCAACGTACGTTCGTTCTATTCGAGATACGACAGCTTTGCAACTCACACAGGGTCAGTGGCTTCTTGTACTAAGTAGACCACTGATCATCCTCTTCTTTTTATTCTCCATGTTTCTCTTGGAAGATCGCTCACGCAATCCAAAAAAAGTACTCTCATCTTGCTCTGTAGTTTTACCCTTCGGGGGACGTTGAAAAGTCATGTGATGCAAAGTGGTGCAAGGTGATAGGAATACTTGTAAGATTCAACTCATGCGCTCTTCCTCTCGGCCCAAGGAGAATTTGACGGCATAAGGAGGTCGCTCAGGATGATCATACAGGTTATTATAAGCGTCAACCTTCACCTCGAGTGGCTTTCCATCAACAAGAAAAGGTGCTGACCCGCCAACCCATCTTTTTGCATCTAGTAATTGAATACCGGCAAAGGCAGCATCAGCCAGAGAACAGAATGCGGCCATCTCCCTGTTAAGCCTTTTTTCTTTCTTTCCAGTAGCTGCAGCTCTTGAGCCATCCGCCCATTCTACTGCTGCTGTCCTGGTCGTGGAGCCTCGCAAGTCAATGAACACTACAAGTTGTACTGTATTTCTTCCCTTCAAAGCTTTATCTTCGAGCTCATTGGAACTTAGGAAGCGAAAAACGTAAACCTTTGGGTTGTCGCTTGTAAATCGAAAATCTGCAATCCGACCTAGGGAATACATTTCCATATTTAATGAGGGAGGGAAAATCTCCACCAACCTCGCGGATGGGAGGAATTCAAGTAGGCTTCCCATATCTATCTCCAGTGTTTCGTCAGGTGACGGAATACCACGAGAAGACATGAGATTGTCTTTGGTAATCAACATCCTCCGGCGGTTTTCCTGGACTGGTGTGTGTTCCTTCGAGATCATTAATGGCCCAGATATGCACCTGATCACCTGCTGGCCGTCTTTTAGCTGTCCGTTGTCCTCGAGACCTGAGAAAAGGGGAAAGCATAATCGATGTGTCCTCTGATGGATGCGACCATTTCGACGCGAGAACCACACGTCCCAAAGCGCGTAGTAGTAACCAGGCAAGCCAGCTATTGGGACTTTCAAGACGTCTAGGAATATTTCGAGGCGCTTGTTGCTCAGGTCGAAAGGGGCAGTTCCAGACAAATCGTATTCTATCATCTTGCCACTTCCCATGAGGGCCAGCGAAGGAGCGAAGAAGGAGCCACGCTCAGTCACGGATCTGTTGTAACCCCATGCCAATAGACTTTGACCCCCATGCTCTTTCATGATCTCTGTTTGTAGCCGTATGAAGGCCTTTTCTCCCTCACCATAAAGAAGAGGCATGTTGACTTCGAACAAGCCCATCAGGCAATATGCCATGTCCTCTTTGCGCGATGTTTTCCTCTTGCTTGCCCAACTCATTCTGTCGGCATAGGAGTACCTATCGAGGCAGTCCGTTTTTACCAAGGCGTCACCTGGAATGCCGGTAATACCCGCAATTCGGGCCACTGATGAAGTTAGGGTGTCCATCGCATTCCAGTGTCGATCGTAAAAGATAACCAACGATGGCGCCAGGAGTTCTTGAAGGGTCCAACCGCGTGTGAACCAACGACTGACTTCAAACCGGACTCCTCCATAGCTCTCACCTCGCAGGTCCACATCTGACAAGAACGCGAAGCAGACGGCGGACCTCTGATACCAGCGAAACATCGAATTAATGGCCTCTGAAAGCTCAGCACTGCTCGCCTTATCGATGCAGCAGGTGTCGATCCATACATAGTTGAGCTCGCTTTCCTTCGCAAGACGAGCACTTTGGACGATCTTGTCGAACCCAGCTCTTTGTCTTATGGCTATGGCCTTGTTTGTCATGTTATGACCGATCTGTGACATGAGATCTCCCAGAGATGCATAGATCATTCGGTTCTTCTCGTAGTCATGTACCCAACAAAGATCTTGGAACGAAACCTCTTCCTTTCCCCAGGTATGGGAGAGAATCGCGAATTCCGGCGTGTCCTCGTCAAAGAACTCCTCCAGCTCAAGCGTCTCAACGTTGATGAGTCTCATGGTGTCAAGCTGCTCCGGAAGGTCTGTAGAAATGCGGTTGACCATGCACTTCACTGTATCGCAGTCGGATTACGAGAGGTTTGATAGGGAACCTTGTGTAACGACGGTATCATGGATACTGAAAGTGCTTTTTGCCGCTTGGCTCGAAGTTGAAAAGTGGCGCACTGGAGAACCAAAAGTGGAAGATCAGGCTGCAGGTACTCTGCCAATCAGGCTACTCGCGAGGCACATCAGCACGAGAGGGGTTTGCATGGTATGTCCTACCAACTGGCCAATAGAGTCGAACGTAGTAATGTATTCTCTAAAAATGTACAAATGCCCTCCTTGTGCTACCAAACTCCGACAATGCAAGAACAAACCAAGGCAACCCTTGTGGTCATGAAATGGGAGTCTAAGTCTGCGGATCTCGATGCCGATGCCAATGTCGACGACGCGCTGATGACCGTGCCCTGTGTCGTCTGGACGACCTCTAATCAAACAAAGTGTATCGTGCGTTTCCTGGCGCTTGTCTATTGCTCTCTTGATACGAGGGAGGGGCCGATGGAGGTTGGGAACGTGCAGGAGGGAGAGCAAGGGGTGCGGCTGGAGCAGCAGCACTTTGCTGAGTCCACTGTGCCGTCCTCATTACCATCTTGGCGAAGTATTGCTGGATGAATGACTCCCTATAAAGCATTAGTACATTTCCAAGCAGGGGAAAAAGAAACAACATACGTGTAGTAGCTATGGTCCGAGTTGTGAGGCTGAACCAAGTTGTGCGCCAGCTCGTGAGCCAACACAACCCACCACCAAACACCTGCCTCAGCCTTTCCTTCACCTCCTGGGGACCTGTTGAGCTTGTCGGCATGTAGTTGCAGGAAGAAGCGCAGGTTACAGAAAACACTGCCGTTGCTGTTGAATGCGATGGTGGAGCCCGATTCATCGTAGAAGATGTGAAGGACTCGCGGAGAGAGGGAGTAGACGCCGCCCACCTCAGTAAGCAGGGCAGCAAAAGAATTGATTGCGCCATGGTATGTCGACAAGAATTGACCTGCGTCGGTGGAGAGGTTCCTGGAAACAAAAACCTTCATCGTGTTTGATGCCTCGGCAGCGAACACAATGTTCTGTGCTGGTGTACTGTCGCAGTATGTGGCCTGCTCCTTGACCTCGTTCACTGTCGGCGGCGAGAAGACGCTATTCGAGTCGTGCGCTCTTGTCGAATTGATGGCGTTGAGAAGGTTCTGACCAACAGTGGCCGGATTGGTCACACGTCCATCATCCTTGCCCTTGTTTGAGCCGCTGCCGCTGCCACTGCTAGGCTGCCCCGGAGCTCCATGCTGATGGTTCTCTTGAGGCTTGTCGATGAACTTCTGGAGCTGATCCTCTGCCTCATCGTCATCATTGGTTTCGAAACCAAAGCGACGTGAGAGGTTTGAGAACAAGCTCTTGCTCTTTCGGTTGGGTTGCGGAGGCGGCAACTTGTGGGCTTCTTCTGGGCTGTCGGCTCCGAATGAGCCTGGCATAACAGGTTCTGGAGTTCTATTCGCAACCTGTCGAGCAGCCTCGGCAGCCTTTGCTTGCTGACCCCATTCTTGCTCTCTCTCCTGAATGCGTTTTTGCTCCGCTTCGAGTGCCTTGCGGCGCTCCTCCTCAGCGATTCTCGCCTCAGCAGCCTTTGCTCGCAAAATACGATCTACGTTGTATCCACGAGCTCGCAAGCCGAGAAGATCGAGCGTCAGGAACGGCTCGAAGAAGAGGTAGGCTTGCTGATTAGGTCTCGTCAAGAGGAGCTGACAAATGGCTTGTCCGACTTGGTACATGTCGGGTTGTCCGTCAGCAGCGACGTACAAGATCCAGCTAGAACCAGACTGAGCGCTGGCAGCAGATCTCTTTTCCGTGTGTGATTGGCTGTGGCCCCTGAGTGAACGGCGCAGCGCAACAGAGCGCACGAGCTCAACTTGCAAGCTCTTCTCCAGCCACTTGGCATCACGCTTGATGTAGTCTCGGCGGTAATTGGCGTATTCGTGGAGGAAAATCTTTGAGCGCTCCAACACGTGCTTCCGCAACTTGGCTGCCCGGTCTTGCTTATCGGCATGGGGACCAATTCTGACTTCCTCCTCTACCAGCGAACTCAAGTTCTGGGCGCCCAGTTGATGATAAAAATCCTCGAGGACCTCTTCTTCAGGGGCTGTGATCAAGTAATCCTTGAATAGGCGGTAGCTGATGATGTCGTCGAGAATAACAATTCGACTGGCTGCAGCGAGCTGGTATTGCTTGATGGGTGCGTCTGCATCGTCATCGTCGATGTCAACAAGTCTATCCTTGTTCGGAGACGGGATCTCCTTGGCAGCGAGGAGAAACGGCGACGACTTCATCTTTCTGACCAACTCCTTGTCTCTCTTGAGAGTAGCCCAGTTCTCAGCCAAGGACTTCAGCAAAGCGAGGTACTTATCCGGGCTTTGCAAGATGCTGAGCAAGCGAGCTGGCTCGCTGCAAGCAAGATTCGCAATTTCAGGTTTGGTAGGTTCGTTCTTGGCTCCGCACTTGAAGAGAAACGTGTTGGCATTGGTGCCAAAGTCAACAAAGTCAAAGATATTGCCGTAAGTCGCAGAAGTCCCAAGGTAGCATCTTTTCGGGCTGATGTGGGTAATGTAAGAGCCAGACTTCTCACTACCCTCTCGAGCCTGCCGACTGACTGGAACAATCGGTGCGTCACGCAGCTTGGCCAAACTGCCTTCGCCGAGATCTCCGATACGCAAAGCAAAGTAGTCGAACAGAGCGATAGCCTTTTGACGGTCCTGAGGTGGCTTAGCCAGCAGACGAGAGACACACTCGGCGATAGGCGGATCTCTGACAACACCGAATTTGTTCGCATGCACATGGAGTTCTTTCTTCAGGATATCGAAGCCCAGAATTGCTGCGCCCTCGTTTGTGAAGCAAGCAGCCGGTGTTACCAATCTGCTCTCATTTTGTAGAGGCAAGAAAGCCCTGCGGCTGTCGGCTAGATTGAAGGAACCGTATCCGTTGATGTGATGATTTGCGATGAAGTATGTCATTGCACAGGTCCGAAGCTCTGCGTCCTTGGAGCACATCATTTCCACCACTTCGGGAACTGAGGGGTAAGGCCGTAAGCCCAAGATTGCTAGGAATCGCCCCTCGTTGCTGTTGGCCCTGAAACTTCCGGGCGGGCCAGGCCATTGCAAAATGGGCAGCTGTAGCACTCTCAGTGTGTCCTTCGGCTCGAACAGTTCCGATACCTTGTAGAGTTGAGTGCTTCCTTTGGTTGGCTCCATTCCCCTCGGCCCGGCTTCCGCGGGGCAGAAGCGTGTCTCCTTGAGCTTTCTCATATCTTCTGCAGGAATGTCGTCCCTGACAGACGCGAGATACTTGACAAGTTCCATGTGACTCCATTTCTGGGCACCGCCTTCAGCTGATGGGCTCAGAAGTCTGGAGAAGATAGTGTCTAGGTCAACTGTCTTGCGCACTCCAATGGCTGACAGGAACTTGTCCTTCAGACTCTGACAACCCTGGATGACAGGCAAGTCATCGAAAAGCTTGACAGTAGGGAAGAAGGCCTCCGTTGGCCTCTTCATGCCCATCTTCGTGGGCATTACAGTATGGGCCTGCAAAAGCGTTGTGATTGTGGCCTTGGAGCTCTGGCTAGTGTTGTCCCAGTTCTTGGACAAAACTGTCAGAATCTGAACTGCGAACTTGGCTGACTTCTTAATGTTCTGATCATCGGCCTTGCTCGAGCTGGTCTCGATGAGAAATCGCAGCCATGGCACAACTTCAAGAGGGTCCCAGCCAAGAGCCTGCAGTTCAGGAGCGGTGCAAGTATTCGTGTACGCCAGAGGGATAGTTGTAGGAGGGATTGGTAGATTCGCTGGAATCTTGTTCGACAGTTGATAGTTTGTGATGGTGCCAAGAGCGATAATTTCGCCTTGACCACCGTCCTCACTGACTGTCGCAACCGCGACATCCAGAAGTCTGGCTTTGCTAGGAGGATCCAACTCCCCATTAAGCGCCTTCTTTCCAGCCCAGTTGATGAAGTTTATCAACTGCTCCTTGTTCATAGCCTTGGCCTCAAGCTCAGATCGAACATCATCGACAGTAATGGGACTAATAAGCCCAAAGTCGATCAACTTGCGTACGAATGAGTTCTCCATCAGCTCTTTGGGAACAACAGGAATGGTATCGACAAACTTGGCAAGTTCGTCAGAACCGATGCGAACCTTGGTTGTCGACAAAACGCCACGAGAGGAGAAAATCTCAATGGAGGCCTTCTTGAACGCAGTCCAGAACGACTCTTCTAGAATCTGTGCAACATGACCGCTTGGTGTGGAATCAGAGAACGTGAAAGTCTTGAGAATATGCAGTGCTTCAGGCATAAGCTTTGCGGCGTCCGCGGCAGACAGCTTCGATCCCGTGCCGGCAATGCTCTTAACCTTCGAGTCTAGATCGCTCATCTCGTTGATGAAGGCCAGTCTCGTCATAATACCAGCAGCTCGGAGCATCTCAATGTTCCAGGTTCTGACCCAACGAGCGTTGAGATCGATCGCCTCACGCTCCACAGTTGGGATAACCGACTGAGCGGAAATGTGCATACCTGCGCCGGTTGTCTGCGTGGTGGGGAAACCGATGAAGATGCGGCCACCCGGTTTCTTGCTCGGCAGAACTGATGCGAACACGTCGACAGACTTGGAAATAGTAGCAGAGCGGGAGCTCTCCGATGCCATAGTCTCATCATAAGAAGATGTGAGGATGGCCAATTTTGTGGTCTTTGGGGGCGGCTTCTTTGTTGCTCGCTCCAACTCACTGGCGAAGGAGGACGACACATGGGTCTTGACCGCTGCAGTCGTGACTCGGAGGAAAATGGTTGATGTAGAGATCTTAGTCACATCCTCACTAATCTCTTCCTGAGCTGCGGCCTCCTCTCTCTGCTGCTTGCCTTTGGCGGTTGCTTGTGTCGCCGAAGAGGTCAACCTGGAGAAGAAGCTTCTGAGCGAAGGGACTTCAGAACTCAT